ATCACATTATATTCACAAATCTCACAGAGCACTTTAATCACTCATCTGTTTGTGAAATTAAACACATATTTACACTTTGCAAACATTAAGGAACACAACAAAGCAATCAAAAGGCAAAACAGAAAACATTCCTATTTTGCCCGTTTTCTCATAAGGTTTCCCGTAGGGACCCACAAAAATCTGAAATCATACAATTACAATTTTAAAACTGAAATTAATCATTCATTCAAGAAATTTATACAATTAATTACATATAAGAGATACTTAAAGAAAAATCTGAGGTCGAGTTCGAACCTTCACAAACGTTACTTAACGAAAAATTTGAGGTCGAGTTCGAACCTCGGTATGATTAAGGTCAAGTTCGAACCTTCACAAACGTTACCTAACGAGAGACCGAGGTCGCGTTCGAACCTCGGAATGATCAACTCAAGGTGAAGTATCACCAAGCATAGAAGCATACAACAGACATCGAACGTGTGTCTCAAAACGCGCAAACAACAAAAATCAAGCCTAAACACAAAGGCAAAGAAAAGTGCAAATGCAAATAGCCAAAGAAAAATATACATATACAAGCAATGTTTCACAGTTCCACACTTGAATTCAAAATAGGAAAATAAAGCAGAAAAAATATAGCTAAGCTATTACAAAATTGGCCTACACAAAGGCATTCTCGCTGGAGCTTTCCTCGACATCGTCTTCCTTGACAAGCTTCCCGAAGCGGATGACTTTCTCCACATGCATGGCAGAAAAGTCAGATCCTGGCGCGAGGAGCCTGGCCTGGCGAGCCGCCTTGAGGAAACCCCGCTTATGCTCAATCAGAATCGAGCGCTCGGTCTCCTCAAGCTTATTCCCCAGCGCCGCCCTCTCCGCCTCCAACTTCGCGAGGTCTGTTCTCAGGGCGGCGATCTCCTCTTCCCTGCCACCGAGAATGACCTCATCGCAGAGACGCTCCTCAACCGCCACCACAAGCTCGCCCCTCAGAAAGGTCACCTCGTCCTCTAAAGAGCGAACCCAGCTCCGGGAAGACGTCACCTCATCTTCCAAGCTCCGCACCCGACCTCGGGACGACGCGACGAGCCCTTGCAGCTCGCCCACCTGAGAAGCATAATTCTCGTTGGAGCACAGGGCAATCCCCAACGATTTCTGCACCCTGGCGAGATCTGCCTTCGCTGATTGAAGCTCGGCACCCTGCATCTTTGCCTCGCCAAGGGCGGCACTCAGCACCTTATTCTCCTCCTTTAGGACCTTGTTCTCGTCCTTCAGAGGCTGAACTCGGTTCCTCAACCTAACCAGCTCCTCCTGTTGTGTACCACTTATGCTTCCAGTGGTCCGCAATCGTCATAGTTCTCTGCAGAAAAACTTGGGCAGCGTTGAAGCTTTCCACAGGCCCAGCCCCGTCGATCAGCCCCTGGTCATCTAAGGTCAGCGAACCTCGAGGGAAGAACTTCTCGGCGGTCACCCCAGCGCTCCACAGCGAGTTCACGTCGGCCGACACACTCACATGGTCCAGTCGCACCTGGGATAGGCCCTTCCCGAAGCGGTGAGCTATGTACTGGCTCCGGGAAGCCCCCTGCGACGATCCTGACAGCGCCGCCGAGGTGGCAGGCGTGGCTGCAGGGACCTCAGGACTCGGCCCCTTACCGCTGTACAAATGAGTTGTGCACTCTTTTCCCGCCTCAGTCTTTTGTCCCAAAAAATAGAAAAATGGGTTTTGGTTGAGAGGGTTTTTAACGAGGCACACTGACATTATCAATAAAATAACTCATTCTATTCAACTCATGTTGTTCTCGCATTATTTTATGTTTTGTGCTAAATCTGAGGTCGAGTTCGAACCTCGGTATGATTAAGGTCGAGTTCGAACCTTCACAAAAATTACTTAACGAAAAAATCTGAGGTCGAGTTCGAACCTCGGTATGATTAAGGTCGAGTTCGAACCTTCACAAACGTTACTTAACGAAAAAATCTGAGGTCGAGTTCGAACCTCGGTATGATTAAGGTCGAGTTCGAACCTTCACAAAAATTACTTAAAGAAAAATCTGAGGTCGAGTTCGAACCTTCACAAACGTTACTTAACGAAAAATTTGAGGTCGAGTTCGAACCTCGGTATGATTAAGGTCAAGTTCGAACCTTCACAAACGTTACCTAACGAGAGACCGAGGTCGCGTTCGAACCTCGGAATGATCAACTCAAGGTGAAGTATCACCAAGCATAGAAGCATACAACAGACATCGAACGTGTGTCTCAAAACGCGCAAACAACAAAAATCAAGCCTAAACACAAAGGCAAAGAAAAGTGCAAATGCAAATAGCCAAAGAAAAATATACATATACAAGCAATGTTTCACAGTTCCGGCAACTCCTCTTCCTCGTCAATCTAGTCTAAGGTAATGTTTTCTTAGGAATTTCCTCAATAACTCTCCTATAATAAGTTTATCTAAGAAAACTCTTAACCTCACTAATTGACTTAGGTATCACCCACTTAAGCACAACTTCTATCTTAGGTAGACTTACGTTATACCTCTGCTAGAAATTATTGAACCTAGAAAAATCGTCTTATACAATCAAAAATCATACTTAGATAATTTAGCCTAAAGCTATCTTGGATAAATCCTACTTCTCAATTCCAATTTGATGATAGCACACCTTAAGGTCAACCTTACTGAACACCCGCTAATTGATCCATAAGGTCATCTATCCTCATATCAACATACATGCAAATGAAGTGCAAATGCAAATAGCCAAAGAAAAATATACATATACAAGCAATGTTTCACAGTTCCACACTTGAATTCAAAATAGGAAAATAAAGCAGAAAAAATATAGCTAAGCTATTACAAAATTGGCCTACACAAAGGCATTCTCGCTGGAGCTTTCCTCGACATCGTCTTCCTTGACAAGCTTCCCGAAGCGGATGACTTTCTCCACATGCATGGCAGAAAAGTCAGATCCTGGCGCGAGGAGCCTGGCCTGGCGAGCCGCCTTGAGGAAACCCCGCTTATGCTCAATCAGAATCGAGCGCTCGGTCTCCTCAAGCTTATTCCCCAGCGCCGCCCTCTCCGCCTCCAACTTCGCGAGGTCTGTTCTCAGGGCGGCGATCTCCTCTTCCCTGCCACCGAGAATGACCTCATCGCAGAGACGCTCCTCAACCGCCACCACAAGCTCGCCCCTCAGAAAGGTCACCTCGTCCTCTAAAGAGCGAACCCAGCTCCGGGAAGACGTCACCTCATCTTCCAAGCTCCGCACCCGACCTCGGGACGACGCGACGAGCCCTTGCAGCTCGCCCACCTGAGAAGCATAATTCTCGTTGGAGCACAGGGCAATCCCCAACGATTTCTGCACCCTGGCGAGATCTGCCTTCGCTGATTGAAGCTCGGCACCCTGCATCTTTGCCTCGCCAAGGGCGGCACTCAGCACCTTATTCTCCTCCTTTAGGACCTTGTTCTCGTCCTTCAGAGGCTGAACTCGGTTCCTCAACCTAACCAGCTCCTCCTGTTGTGTACCACTTATGCTTCCAGTGGTCCGCAATCGTCATAGTTCTCTGCAGAAAAACTTGGGCAGCGTTGAAGCTTTCCACAGGCCCAGCCCCGTCGATCAGCCCCTGGTCATCTAAGGTCAGCGAACCTCGAGGGAAGAACTTCTCGGCGGTCACCCCAGCGCTCCACAGCGAGTTCACGTCGGCCGACACACTCACATGGTCCAGTCGCACCTGGGATAGGCCCTTCCCGAAGCGGTGAGCTATGTACTGGCTCCGGGAAGCCCCCTGCGACGATCCTGACAGCGCCGCCGAGGTGGCAGGCGTGGCTGCAGGGACCTCAGGACTCGGCCCCTTACCGC